GTATGTGAATAAAGACTTGGATAGAAAGTTGGAGGACTTGGAGAAATGGATGGAGGAAAGTGAGGAAGGAATAAGAACAATCATTGGGGGATTTTAATGCGAGGACGGGGACAGGGAGGATGGAGGAGAGTGGAGTCAAAAGAAGAGAAGGAAACGAGTGGAAAGTCTACATATAAAAAGGTGAATGAAGAAGGGAAAATGTTTATAAATGATAGAAGAGAGGAAGTTTATAAATTATAGAAGAGAGGGGATAGGGAATTTTGAACGGATGTGTAAAGGGGGATGAGGAGGGAGAGTATACGTATGTGGCAGGGAGAGGGGAGACAGTGATACATTATATATTAGGTTGGAATTTGAAAAGGTAAAAAAGGTAATAAGAGATCTGGGAGGAGGGAAGTCAATGGGAAGGGATGAAATGCCGAATGAAGTGTGGGAATATGGAGGAGAGGAAATGGAGAAATGAACATGAGAAGTATGTATGAGGGTGTGGAGAGGTGAAGGGTGGCCGGAGGAATGGAAAGAAAGTATAGTGATCCCAACATTGAAGAAGGGGAAGGGGAATAAGATAGCGGATTATAGGGGGATAACCTTGATGCCGTCGCTATATAAGATGTATACAGCGGTGTTAACGGAGAAATTAAGAGAGGAAGTAGAAGGGAAGGGACTGTTGTCGGGAAGTCAAGTGAGATTTAGGAGAGGGGAAGGGACGATGGATCACATTTTGCTCTGAACTATATGGTAAATAGACAATTAGGGGGGAAAGAGGAAGCATTGGTATTTATCGCTTTCAGAGCGGCATTTGATTCGGTGGACAAAGGGAAATTGATAGGTAGGATGAGAGAAAGGGGGTAAGGGAGGGGTTAGTAGAGAGAGTGGAGGAGATATTGAGGGAAACGAAAAGCAGGGTGAGGGTAGGAGAGAGAGTGGGAGTGTGGTTTTGGACGGCGAGGGATCTAAGGCAGAGTTTCCCGCTGAGTCCGATATTGTTTAATATCTTAATGTTGAATTTGGAAGAGGAGATGGCAAGGGGAGGTTGGGGAGGAGTAACCATAGGAGAAGAGAAAGTGTACACTTTAGCGTACGCGGATGACGTGGTATTGTTAGCGGAGGAGGCAGACGGTGCGAAGACAATGTTAGCAAGGGTAGAAAGGTATGCAGATAGGAAAGGATTGGAGGTGAATATAGAGAAGACTAAGGTCATGAGGTTTAGGAAGGGTGGGGAGAGAAAAAAGAAAGTAGAGTTGAGATGGAAAAGTAAAAGATTGGAGGTGGTAAAGGAGTATAAATATAGATAGCAATTTGTTGAAATAAATTTTTTGGGTATATTTCTTTAAAACGGCGTATAAAATAGTCTCTGTTGTTTTGCAGATGACAATAACATCTCGTGATGTTAAAATAAGACCATCTCAACGTTTATGCGTTTTTATCATAGAATGAGGTTTTTCCTTATTTTATGTTTTCAATGCCTGTAAGCATTCATTGCATTTTGATGTTATTGATAGTACAATATTACGGGAGCGGTGCACTTGGACATGGTGCATTTGGACACAGCCAATCACAACACCGTGTACTTAGAGACATTTGTAGGGTCCCTTGGAACAGCGACTTGTGATTGGACTGTGTCCAATTGCCCCGTGTCCAACTGATATACACCCCAATATTACCACTGATGTAAGCAATGACGTCATTTATATATTTATAAAAAATGAAGATTCTGGTTTACTGGAACATAATGAATCTAAAATATGCATCAATATACATCATCAAAGTTGTCTTCATCGGTTTCAAGATTAGAAATGTCATCATCGCGTACACAGGAAATATAATTTTTTGATAGCAACAGCGTATCGTCTTTAGGGAGATAATTTCATGTTAAAGGTATATAAACATTCGCATGAATTAACAATTTTTTATAAGTCGAATTGAACTGACGTGCCGTGGGATTATTATTAAATTCCCCATAGCGTTTGATGCATAAGAAAAAAGTTTCACGGTGGTTTTGTGACAGCTTGTATGTTAATAGAAATGTCATTCTACCTTCTCTAAACAGCATTTCAGAAAGTTTTAATGTGTTCTGCAAATGTAAAATAAAACCTAGAAAACCAACTCTTTAATTAGTTAGCAAAATTGGAATTTTATTTAGCTTTAGACCTCGAATATATATTCAATATGATATGTCCAATTTTTATTTTTAAATCATCTAGATTATCAACTGTCACAACATATTTACTGGCGTTTATGTTGTACAGATTTCACGAGTTTAAAATGTTAAAAATATCATTAATCTCTTGACAAAATCGAGGTGTTGCCCCTGCTCCTTCATTTTTTTATTATGGAATTCGATGTGCTGACGTCGAATTTTCGTTGCTAAATGAAAACTTTGTTTTTCTTGAATTTTTACTAGTCACAAAATAATCCCAACAAATTTATTTCCCATTTTTATCCGTTAATTTAGCATTTCTTTCACACGCATTTCTAAGTAATTTTATCATATAGCAAACATCAAGCTTAACAGTAATCTCTTTTTGTGAAGTCGGATGAAGAATAGTGCTTACCATATTATCTTCACAAATGTTTGGTCCTAGAATTTCTACCATCTTTATATTGGTAGATGCACCAATATAATGTGATACAAATGTAATATTACATATCTCAATACTTTTTTCATGCAGCGCACACAGAATGTTACACAGTGATTCACCTTTTTTGTTCCTGAAATAGATTTGATAAGATAGTAAGTGATAAGACAGGTGCCTTAAAGTAACCGTTAGTTGCTACGATCATAAAGACTAGAGTATTTGTTGCTTCAGTAGATCCTTGCTTGTTCTCGTCTAACCCAAGGTCAACATGTCCGTATATTTCATTCCCACATACTTCAATACGCTTTCGAATGGCCATCTCATTGATGGTCAAATTAAAATACAACTTCTTCTTTGTCATTTCCATCATTTGACATACACTCTCCAAAGCTTCTTGGGAAATGCCAGGATTGTGATTGACAGATGTTTGCCAACATCTTAATAAGCTAGGATAGGGTAGGGTCATAAGAAAGAACCCCGCACAAATCTTATGGGAAATGGCCCTCAGCGGATTTGGTTGAAATTTTAGTATGATGTAGTCCTGGTCATGCTGAACAAAAGTCTCAATGGCACTGACAAGTTCTGATGGCTAGTTTTCGAGTTACAATAGACTAATGATTAATAATTAGAAAATTCAGCTAATATGATTAATAAAGTTTTATCAATAAACACACATGGTGTTCCGTATTTTGCTAATGCGTATGAACATAAGACTACAGATTTAGCAATATATATTGTCAGTAGAATATGTATAATGAATACATGTACTGCATTAACAGCTAAAATAAAAAATATTAGACAACATAATTATTGACACGTTAGGCTTAGATAAGTAGCGAGTTGCCTACATTCAGCTTGCCTACTGTGTGCAATCGGGATGTGCGGCAAGTTGGGGACAACATAAAATTACCTCGGCAAAAGTGACAGCAGAACTCAACGCTCACCTGAGTAATACTGTTTCGACAAAAACAGTATGGCGGGAGCTCCACAAGGCTAACATTCATGGAAGGGCTGCAATTGCAAAACCCCTTATAACGGAAGTCAACGCTAAGCTGTGAAAGAAGTGGTGCGACGATCATAAAACCTGGACACTTGATGATTGGAAGAATGTGGTATGGTCCGATGAATCATCGTTCACATTGTTTCCTACTAACGGCCGGGTTTATGTATGGAGAACCCCAAAAGAAGCCTACGATCCGGACTGCCTGCTTCCTACAGTCAAGCATAGGGGAGGTTCCGTTATGATTTGGGCGGCTATATCGTGGTATTCAGCTGGTCCTCTCATTCACATCACTGGCCGGATTACTGCGAATGAATATCTCGACATCCTCAATGATGAAGTTCTTACTATGACTAGCATACTGCTGCCAAACACTGCCATATTCCAAGACGATAATGCGCCCATACACACAGCCAAAAAGGTTCAGTCTTGGTTTGAGGAGCATCAGAATATCATCAAACATCTTTCCTGGCCAGCACAATCGCCAGACCTCAACATAATTGAACCGTTGTGGGGAGTTTTAGAGCAGAGAATAAGGAGCAGATTTCCATCTCCAACATCATTAAAGCAATTGGCGGATGTTTTGGTACAAGAATGGGACAACATTCCGTTGGAAACTATTCAGACACTCTGCGAATCTATTCCGCGAAGAATTGCAGCTGTTTTACGAGCAAATGGTGGCCCAACACCTTATTAATAAATAAATATTGTGTATATGTCAGGTGTTCATATTATTTTGTCCAACCCCTGTATATACATAAGTACACCATTTCATAATATTATATAACTAACGTGTCTAATAAACAATATGTTCAATTGCAATATGTGCAATCGCTTCGAGCTTATTCTACTGCGTATTCAATCTCCATGACATAAACGACCACTTGTTTAATCGCTTTATGTTTCATCAACATAATGTCCAAAATCTACTAATCTATTGTAACTCAAAAACTAGCCATCAGAACTTGTCAGTGCCATTGAGACTTTTGTTCAGCATGACCAGGACTACATCATACTAAAATTTCAGCCAAATCCGCTGAGGGCCATTTCCCATAAGATTTGTCCGGGGTCCTTTGTGTGCCAATTGTAGGTATTAATTGTCTTATGTCATTATCGTTAAAATACTGTAAAAAGATTTGGTATGATGTCATTTCCTGCATAATTAATAATTATATGTTACTTGATCTTGATATATTTTTATAATAAATTTTCCATTTCTACAAGCTGATCTGAGAAAATTATTTTATTAATAATGAAGATATGGAAATATTTATAATGGCCAATATTCATCATCACATCTTATATTCAAGATCATTTTCAGATACTCCACAGTTAATGAAACGATTTGCATAGCATCTGAAAACGAACTTAAGACAATCTTGGATTTAAGATGCAACTACTGCCTTTAATGAATGTTTATTACAGATAAATATTTTTCAGAGAAATCTACCTACACAGTAAACATCAACTAACAATAACATTATATCGATGTTATAATTTTCTACTCAACAATACATATAACAATAATGTTACATTGTTATATTGCATTTATGTCGTTAAGTAAGAAATTATAATATTAATGCTTTTTATGTTACTGATAGTTGGTATTTACTGTGTGCATGCTATCTCTAGACAAACATAACGAAAAGCACAATTTAACATAATTTAAAATTAGTTTTTTCTACTTACTCTCGAATTTCTGAATAATATTTTCGGCGATATTCCACTGATCAAGCAATTCTCTGATTGTAGACATTGTTTATATCACATTAACACTGTAAGTCGTAGTCTGATGCTCAAATACATAGCATGTGAAGAAAATCGTAGCCGAACTGTATAGCACGTGAACAAAAACTAGCTGCAAGCTGCTTTCATAGCTGTAAAGGTTAAACGCAATACGTGAAAGATCTGTATTGTTAGTCTGCGTCGTATGTTCAGAAGAAAACTGAAGAATAATATAATACACTGGACACTAAATCATTGTTTTCTACCATACGTACAGTCGTAGCTTGGCATTTAAATATGCAGCACATAAAAAAATTCGGCGTCTAGCACGTGAAGATCCTGATCACACGTCTAGCACGTGGAGAAGAGGTTA